CAATTATTCTAGAAGCTCAATTTCTTCTAATTTGGGTTGATTCCAAACACTCACCGCGTATTCGAGGTCAAACTAGGGCTTTCAGTAGTTGGTAGGACATAGTATACAGTTATTTCATGCCTTTTCAGGCAACAGTCAAAATTATATTCCCGAGGTGGCGGGATCAATCAGGTGAACTATTTCCCGAGCCGTAGGCCGAGGGAAATATTTCACCGAATTTATCTCAACGCCGAAGCATGACATAACTGTTGTGTTACTTGTATTGTTGACGGCATTACACTTGTTATAACAAAAACAGACATTTTTTTATTATTGTTTTCAACAAAATGTCCATTTGTTGTCCAGCTATAAGGAATGTGGATACTTTTAGCTGTACATGCTTAGAAGTCAAACTTATTTTATTACCATTGATATAGAGAACCAGGTAACAATTTCATTTACATAAATAAACGGCCCCCTTATGAGTCCAACGATTCTATTAGTCTAGTGTGCCTCTTGTTGTGTATGACATGCACAGCTGAGGTTTTGGTCGATGGTTATTTTATTGAAAGAAGCTTGTACTTATGTGGGTGGGACTGAACTAGCAATATACTGGACCATTTCTATAGAGCATCTAAATCATATTGTAGAATAGCTTGTTCTTGGTATTCATTTCCCTATATATTTTACTATCATCTGCGAAGACTACAGATGAAGATCATTCGTCATTGACGTATATGCCCAACAGTACCGGTCCGAGGACACTGCCTTGTGGTATTCCATTCAAAACTGGATACGCCTTTGATGATGTACAGCTGACAATGAGTTTTTGTGTTCTTTCACTTAAAAAAATGCTCTATCCATTTTGTTATTTGTTTACTTATCCCGTAGCTAGCTAACTTTTTTTCAGCAGGCGCCGGTGCAATGTCATGGCAATTACTGAAAATATACAAACCTGGTATTGGCGTGTTGATTGTGAGGTATTTATTTTTAAAGCCTCTACCGCAATAGACACCAGAACAGTTAACCACACCCTGACAAGGTAATAAAAGCTCTCGATGCGTGACATAATCACAGGATGACATTAACGGACTTTTTATATTAATCCCTCGTGTATGCTTTATTTATATCAGTAACTTCGTTGGTTTACATTTTTCCTCAAGTACTCTGTCTATATAGAAGGGAATATAATTATTTTTAATAATATTAATCCCTTCGGACAGGTCTTTTGAACTATCGTGATCTACGAATAATGAGAAATATACGTACACATGTACTCAGACAAATCGCTCTTTGTTTAGGATCACGTGGCCGTGATAATACTCATTGACTATGACTTATCAGCCTACAGTTAATAAAAGATCAATTCATCCGACGTCATTCGCAATATCACCATTTAATTATTGACAAACAAAAAATCAATAATAAAATGTAACTAAACAATAAAAAATCAAATAAATACGTAGTAATAAACAGACATACCCGCGAAGCGAAGATAATACCGAAGCGTCAACAAATCATAATTCGAACTTGATAAACTAGGGCAAAATATGAAAAAGGACAAATTTAAATGGCAACAAATAAGGAGAATAATACCATGGATCCCGGAAAGAAAACGTCTTCTTCTTCACACAGAGGGATGGTGTAGAGACAACAAAACCGCAAGACACATTCTTGAGCATGATCATAAGCATTGACCTTTATATCCCTCATAGAAATAGCATAGGTCCCTATGAGATCATGATTGCGTCCATAAAACACAGTTTTCATCAAACCTCCATCTTTAGAAACCATGGATGTTACTATCAGGAAAGGTAAAATAAGCGATTGGAACGTCGAAATCGAAATTTCCTTGTATCTGTAGTCAGTAAATAAATGTTAACTGAAGGCTTTCTTTTACATAATTGTTTCTGCAGAAAAACCATGTTTATGATTTTAAAAACTGATATCTCAACGGTGAAAAACATTAGCCTCGATTTTGTCGTTGGATACGATGTTTCTGCATGTTATATCCGTGTCTTACACAAGCAATGTCTACCTCGTAATATCTGATATTATTGATTGCCTGTAACTTCCTGAATTCTCCTTCGTTACTGGTGGAAATTTATGCTGACTTTTGTTTGAATTTTGCATCTCCTCAGTTCTTTATATTTCTTCTGTATCGACTATAAGCTCGGATATTTACCTGTTTGCTACTAAATGCATCACACTCTCCCTGCTGATGCAATAGTTTATTTTGCCTTCGTTTGTGAACACAATTATATACTTTGTCCCTAAGTGTTGTCACTGTAGTGCGCTTTGACCCTGCGTGTTGACACTATAGTAAACTTTGCCCCTGAGTGTTGACGCTGGGGTATACGTTGACCATGAGTGTTGACGCTGTAGTATACTTTGCCCCTGAGTGTTGACGCTGAAGTATACTTTGCCCCTGAGTGTTGACCCTGGCGTATAATGTGCCCATGAGTGTTGGAGCTGTAGTTCGCTTTGACCCTGGGTGTTGACGCTGAGCTATACTTTGCCCTGAGTGTTGACGCTGGGGTATACGTTGACCATGAGTGTTGATGCTGTAGTATACTTTGACCTTGAGTGTTGAAGCTGTAGTTCACTTTGATCCTGAGTGTTGACGCTGGGGTAAGTATACTTTGACCCTAAGTGTTGACGATGTAGTATACTTTGCCCCTGAGTGTTTACGCTGTAGTATACTTTGCCCCTGAGTGTTTACGCTGTAGTATACTTTGCCCCTGAGGGTTGACGCTGTAGTATACTTTGCCCATGAGTGTTGCCGGTGTATTATACATTGGCCCTGAGCGTTGACGCTGAGCTGTACTTTGCCCATGAGTGTTGACGCTGTAGTTTGCTTTGACCCTGTGTGTTGACGCTGAGCTGTACTTTGCCCATGAGTGTTGACGTTGTAGTTTGCTTTGACCCTGTGTGTTGACGCTGAGCTGTACTTTGCCCCTGAGCGATGATGCTGTAGTATAATTTGCCCCTGAGTGTTGACGCTGAAGTATACTTTGCCCCTGAGTGTTGACACTGTAGTATACTTTGCCCCTGAGAGTTGACGCTGTAGTATACTTTGCCGCTGAGTGTTGACGCTGTAGTATACTTCGCCCCTGAGTGTTGACACTGTAATATACATTGACCCTGAGTGTTGACGATGTAGTATACTTTGTCCCGGAGTGTTGACGCTGTAGTATAATTTGATCCTGAGTGTTGACGCTGTAATATACTTTGACCCTGAGTGTTGATGCTGTTGTATAATTTGCCCCTGAGTGTTGACGCTGGAGTATACTTTGCCCATGAGTGTTGACGTTGTAGTTTGCTTTGACCCTGTGTGTTGACGCTGAGCTGTACTTTGACCCTGAGTGTTGACGCTGGGGGATAGTTTGCCCCTGAGTGTTGACGCTGTAATCTACATTGACCCTGAGTGTTGACGATGTAGTATTCTTTTCCCCTGAGTGTTGATGCTGTAGTATAATTTGACCCTGAGTGTTGACGCTGTAGTAAAATTTGCCCCTGAGTGTTGACGCTGAAGTATACTTTGCCCCTGAGTGTTGACACTGTAAAATACATTGACCCTGAGTGTTGACGATGTAGTATTCTTTTCCCCTGAGTGTGGACGCTGTAGTATATTTTGCCGCTGAGTGTTGACGCTGTAGTATATTTTGCCCCTGAGTGTTGACGCAGTAATATACTTTGACCCTGAGTGTTGACGCTGTAGTATACTTTGCCCCTGAGTGTTGACCCTGGGGTATAATGTGCCCATGAGTGTTGGCGCTGTAGTTCGCTTTGACCCTTGGTGTTGACGCTGAGCTGTACTTTGACCCTGAGTGTTGACGCTGAGCTATACTTTGACCCTGAGTGCTGACGCTGGGGTAAAGTTTGCCCCTGAGTGTTGATGCTGGGGTATACTTTGACCCTGAGTGTTGATGCTGTTGTATACTTTGACCATGAGTGTTGACGCTGGGTTATACTTTGTCCCTGAGTGTTGATGCTGTAGTATACTTTGCCCCTGAGTGTTGACGCCGGGGTATAATGTGCCCATGAGTGTTGGCGCTGTAGTTCGCTTTGACCCTGGGTGTTGACGCTGAGCTGTACTTTGACCCTGAGTGTTGACGCTGGGGTATAGTTTGTCCCTGACTGTTGACGCTGGGGTACACTTTGACCCTGAGTGTTGACGCTGGGGTATACTTTGACCCTGATTGTTGAAGCTGGGGTATACTTTGTCCCTGAGTGTTGAAGCTGGGGTATACTTTGACCCTGATTGTTGAAGCTGTGGTATATTTTGTCCCTGAGTGTTTAAGCAGGGGTATACTTTGACCCGAGTGTTGACGCTGTAGTGTATTTTGTTTCTAAGTGTTGACGCTGTAGTATACTTTGACCTTGAGTGTTGACGCTGTAGTTCACTTTGATCCTGAGTGTTGACGCTGGGGTACACTTCACCCCTGAGTGTTGACGCTGGGATTTACTTTGACCCTGAGTGTTGACGCTGTAGTATACTTTGACCCTGCGTGTTGACGCTGTAGTTCGCTTTGACCCTGAGTGTTGACGCTGGGCTATACTTTGCCCCTGACTGTTGACGCTTGGGTATACTTTGACCCTGGGTATTGAAGCTGTGGTATACTTTGACCCTGATTGTTGACGCTGTAGTATAATTTGATCCTGAGTGTTGACGCTGTAATATACTTTAACCCTGAGCGTTGACGCTTGGTTATACTTTAACCCTGAGTGTTGACGCTGTAGTATACTATGACTGTTTGTTGCCTTTATTGTATAAATTGTCCTTTTGACTTGACGCTGTAGCGTTTTGAATCTTTGTATGTCGATGTTATGGTATTTCCCTTTAGGGGTGTTGAGGATATGACACATGTGGGCATTTTGTGTCAACGCGGAAGAATATACATGTTGTATGATTTTTTTCTATTTTACTGTTTACGCGTAGTTTTTTTTTTTTCAAAGATTAAAACTCATCATTTAGATTTGGCCACAGCTGCTATGTCAAGTGTGTATTGGTTATGTAGATTACCAGACGTGCAGTGACGTACATGGTAGCTGTTCCTCTGGCTGGTATCCGATCACTCCGTCTCCTGGTCAGACCCTCGAAGTCTACTGCGATCTGGACTCTCCCCTGGGACCATGGATTGTACGTAAATGCTGTGAATGGGTGTGAATGTGGTAGGACAGATACAGACAGCAATAATCAGCTGCATTACTTAGCGGGGCTCATTGAAAGGTGCAGGTTATGTTAGTGAACCAAACCTGCTTCTAGGTCTGTTAGCAGTCGAGCAAAATTAATTGTTGTTTAGTATATGAATTTATTTGAACTGAATCAAAATAAATGCGATTCTGTGCGCGTCTCCCCGTATTAATATTCCTCTTTTGTCGTAAATTTTTGACTATGTATGTGTACAAACATAGATACGTGAACGATTCTTGAAAAAAGTCGGACATTGGTATTACTCATCGTAATCCATTACCCTTCAGTCCGGGTTTATATACTCATTTCAAGTTTTTTTTAGTTTTTTAGTTTTTATTTCATGATAACGCATACCTTCTGGTTTATTTAACAGGTAATACACAACCGCCAAGACGGAAAAGGGAACTTTTATCGGGGTTGGAATGACTACAAAAATGGCTTCGGAGATCTTTGTGGCAACTTCTGGATTGGTAATACTTGGAATCGTATAGTTAAACATATATATTTTATAATGCCTACGCTATAAAGATATTACAAGGTGCATCTTTGACGTATACAAAATTATCGATATGTAATTAATTATCCTCTTGACTTTATACATATTCCCCCGTATTAAAGGAGATGCAGCTAACACTAATATATTTGTAAACAAACGTCGCAGGTTTCATCTCATTCAATTCATTTCTGAGACAAGCATTAGTTTTCGAAAAAAACAATTGGCTGCTGAAGTTTGCCGGTTACTGTTTATATACGTGTATGACATTCTTATTTTTCTTTCAGCTGATAAACAGTTTCTCTACTTTTGTCATCTTGTGATCAAATTATTCTGCAGACGTTAAGCTCACTCTGATTTATTGACGGACGGTAGGACACATGATGCCTCGGCTAAATTTGTGGTTGGAGTATATAAAGGAATAAATGCTGATGTGACATTCGTGAATTAACTTGTAATAATGTATTGGCAACCAATGTCAAAAACTGCAAGTACATGTTGTCATATTGTTTAATTAAAATAGTATGCCTTATGCCTGGACATCGTTTAACGCGGCAAGCCTTTACTAATGCCTTTTAAAGGTTATACGATGATAAACAAAGAACTAGTTCCTGGATAACGGTTTCTATGTGAGAACTTCCATTTGCCTCCTTTATAGCTACTGTAATGAGAGATATACTAGGTGTCAGTCCTCGGGTTTTTGAATTTAAGTGAGAAGTAAATGAGATAATACACAAGCTGACTGTCTAGGATGCATAGTTTTACGTGAGAACTTTGTTTATTTACAGATAATGAGATGAATCACCAACAAACAGTCCTCTGATACATGATTTTACGTGAGAACTTTGTTAATCTACAAATAAAAATAAAATACACAAGCTGACAGTCTCATGTTCATGGTTTTACGTGAGAACTTTGTTAATTACAGGTAATGAGATAATACACAAGCTGACGGACCTCGGATACACGTTTATGCGAGTAGAGCTGGAAGCCTGGGACGAGTCTAAATGGCATATTGAATACGGTACGTTCAGCCTTGCTGACGAGGCTGACAACTATCGACTCCAGGCAACTGACTCCTCAGGAAACGTTTGTAAGTTTACAATTTCCTCACATCGTTGTACTGGTAAAAGATCAACATTCCCTTAATTGAGTGTATGCTAGTATGGTATTCATACCTTGAATGTTGAGGTCTTAATCGAGGTCTTACATTGTAACTAATAAATGCTTAACTAATTTTACCGGCCTTATTGACAATCATGACACTGATTTACATTCCAAAATATATTTTCATTGGGTTTTAGGCAGAAAGTCGCCACCCAATGTCTAACATAAATGCTGCCTTCGTTATTATGCTTTATCGGGGAACGCTTGTCTTATATCATATACATATATTGTGAACGGTTATATGTTGCTATATATAAACTTTGACAGATAACGCCCTAGGCTATCACAACGGTCGTCAGTTCACAACTTTCGACTCGGACAACGACGTTTGTGGACATTGCAACTGTGCTGTGGTTAGCCATGGGGCTTGGTGGTACGCAGCCTGTGTCGACTCGAACCTCAACGGGTTGTACAAGGAAGACCTCGGCAACGATATAGCCAACTCCATGCTGTGGTACAATGTGTTCCAGGGCAGATCCCACGTTCCGATGAAGAAGGCAAGAATGATGATTAAAAAGCCGTAGTTACAAACTCTGGGAGGCTCTATGTTTGGGTTAGCTGATGCTTCTGTCGTGAGACTAGACACATATAAATACTGTATCTTAACGTATGGTATTACGTTAGTGAGATGAAACCCGTAAGGGCGGATTAATGTAGGCGAAAAACCCTTCAACCAACCAACCAACCAACCAACCAACCAGTATGGTATTTTTGGATCATCCTGATGTTTGCCATCTTTGTTCTTGTGATTTATCCGGAATGTGTCGTCTTGGTGATCGTAAAATCACTGAACGTTGACCTCGTTTGGACAGTGACTGTTTTGTCACACAGTTCTGTGATACACAAATATGTATAGTTTTCCTAATTTTGTTTAGGTTTTAAAACGCAATGTTATGAAATGCAGNTTACAAACTCTGGGACACTCTATGTTTGGGTTAGCTGATGCTTCTGTCGTGAGACTAGACACATATAAATACTGTATCTTAACGTATGGTATTACGTTAGTGAGATGAAACCCGTAAGGGCGGATTCATGTAGGCGAAAAACCCTTCAACCAACCAACCAACAAACCAACCAACCAGTATGGTATTTTTGGATCATCCTGATGTTTGCCATCTTTGTCCTTGTGATTTATTCGGAATGTGTCGTCTTGGTGATCGTAAAATCACTGAACGTTGACCTCGTTTGGACAGTGACTGTTTTGTCACACCGTTCTGTGATAAACAAATATGTATAGCCTTCCTAATTTTGTTTAGGTTTTAAAACGCAATGTTATGAAATGCAGACATACTGTACAAAATTAAGAATTTAGTGATGTGCTCCTAGCTCGTTTCTAGACGTAAGAGTCAGGTCTATTTTCAGTGAGCCAAGAATACTTCAGCTTAGCTTTTCATCCAAACTCGGAAGCTACAGCATGCACGGTTACATTTTCTTTAATGGTTAAGTAACGTGTTTTTAATTCAGCGAATGGCAATATAAAGTGACGGTTTATATTAGTTTGGGGTGTATTTTGTGAAAGCAAAACGAACGCCAACATGACCTAGACAGAGAATTAATTTGTGAGAGTGATTATGAACTTTCTTGAATTCGGTGGCAATTTTTTCCAGCAGACTATAAGCATACATATGCACAATCTATGCCCCCGGCCTCTTCTGGCCGACTTCTTTTCAATTTCACGAGGCACAAAATTCGATATAATCATAAAATTAGCGCAATTAAATTGAATATTATTCAGACATATCGACGATCTAATGTCTTCTTATAACAAGAAATTAACAGACAACCGCGTATATACCCTCCTGAGCCAAAGACTGCAACATGATTATCAGGGACGGCTTACTAATAAACAGCTATACAATAAGCGGGCCAGTTTTGACTTTGCGATCGCTAAATCTTGCTTCCTTGATAATAACAACATGCTTCCCCTACCTACAGTTTGTACATGTCGTAGATGCTTTGGTATCCAAGAGCTTGTTCCGAATAGCATGACGTCCGTGATAAATGTCGACTGCTGAAAAAAAGAAAACACTTCAGGTTATGAAGACTATGTACAAGTTTTAGGATCGTCATCATGATCTCATAGGGACATATGTTGTTTCTTTGATATGAAAGTCAACCTTTTTGATTATGCTCTTTAGAGTACCTTGAGGTTTTGTTGTATCTACCCGGGTTGTCGGTATAAGGACGTAACATTACTTAGATTCTATTTGGACGGTTGCCCTTCCCAGAACTCCTGGTCATATTCTCCTTTTACTTTTTCAAGGGTTTCCATTAAGGCTTACCTTTGTTCATACTAGCCCTAGTTTTAAAATGTTTTAGTTTAAAATATTGGATTATGATTTTGCTTATAAAATTCAATTAGATATCAGTTAAATAAATAGGACTTCTCTTTTTCAATTACTTTAACTAGGCGGCTAGACGGTCTGTACTGTCGATTTATTTTCTTTCAAATCACCGACCTGGTTAAAACATTTCTTGTAATTTAACGACAGCACATCGTCGAGATATATGGAAAGAAAATTAAAGGATTTCTTTGAAGGAAGAATTGTTACCAGCCAAATAATCTTTATAATAAGTGAAGACTCAAAACAAGTCAGCCAGATTCTCAAACCCATTTTTTAAAACTAAGAGAACCTATGCAACAGTCCGAGTGGCAAGCTAAAAGGGAAAGCACTCGTGAATCCTAGTTTGCGTTATTGATGTTTATTCATAGTCATCACAATAAAATCTGTAATGATTCATAATATTTATGCAAATGTACATATATTATAAACAGCTACATGTAGTTAACTGCTTTAACCCATTTGTTTAAAATATATGTAGCCTTATAAATATTGTACAACAACATGACACAATAGTTCGTTAAGAATTGGAGTAACAAACCACAGTACAATGGGTTTTTTATTAATCAAGTTAGAGATCAGTTTTGACAATATTGATATGTTTTTAATGATATTGAATTATTGTTATTTCGTGTCAAATGTATTGACTATGAATAGTGCATTAAATATTCTCATATATTTAAAAACAAAAATCTTTTCAGTCACACATTGCTGTAATAGAATATTTCAATTTAAAGAAAGACAACTCGTGTAGGTTGTATACACATTCTTGGTCTCAGTTATGTTTTACAGTCAACTAACTGCATAGTCTGGATTTCTTATTTAATTGATTTCAGGCTTATTTGAATGCTGCTTTAACAAATCCGACATGCATTTTCCCCTTGACGTGGACTCAATATGGCCGGATGCCACATATGTAGCATCTTGTTTCCTTTTTAATGTATTTCAGCTTTCTTTTGCTGTCCACTCAACTCCTGTTTGTTTAAAAAGATGCTTTGATTGTCTATTTCCCTTAACATATTAACGTAGTCCTAACCATGGGAAATGTTTAGTAGCATACATATATTACTTAAATATACAACTGTCATAACGTGTATATACATATTATATATATTATCAAAACAATCATCCAAAGACCTTGTGATGGTTAAATATAAAACAAATGCAGCAAAACAGCTGGACACCATATCTTTAGTTCGAAAGCACTTACTGACAGTCGTTTTCATGAACAATTCAGACCAATTTGCATAGAGCATTGCATAGCTCTCAATCACAGGCCCACTATAATTGAAAGAAAAGGGCATACAAAACCTTCTTGGCGCTTTTTATAGGTATTGCAGTCATTTCTTTTTCCTTTTTTTATTGTTTTGATCTCTCGACAACCACTCTTGCAATGATTGCACATCTGGGGTTCAAAGTAATAAACCCATGTCTCATCCCCTGTAGATAACTCAGATAAATTTGATTTTTTTTCCACATTTTGAACGTTCCGCCATTTGTTCAGATTCCAGCAAAAGGACACCCTGTCACGGTAAGGTACGAGGAAGTAAGACAGATTTGGAAAACGCTAACCCTAACCCTTACAGTACGCAGGAGTAAGGCCGGTTGGGAAACCATTACCCTAACCCTGTCACGGCTGAAACGGAGGAGTAAGGAAAGTCGGAATACGTTAAGCCTTACTCTGTCACGGTAAAGTAAGAAGATTTCAGAAAGATTGGGGATCCCTAACCCTGCCATGGTAAGGTACGAAGGAGTAAGGACGGTCTGGATTCTTCTTTTTGTGGCTCTTAATATACATCCGCAAGTGCTACGGTTTGATGGAGAGGAGTATAAATTACTTGAAATTGTGACTTATCCAGGATTTGACGCAGAAGTTAAAAAACTTGTTGGATACTTCCCTGATTTGCTGGTCAAGTTTTGTCAACCTTGGCCGTAAAACTGATCCTTTGGCAGCGTGACGTAGGTTTTCAACTCAATGTTAATTTTCGTATTGATATTACAAGATCAAAGTAGTTAAAACTTTAAACGCCGTTTTTTTTAACAGAATCCAATTGATTTATGCATAATATGCATTTTAATGTGGAACAGCTTAGCCGATTATGCACTGCCACCGTACTTTCTTGTTTCTTTGTTGAAGACTCAAGTATTTAATTTAGAAACAAAATGTTTGGGTTTCAATTGTACTCAACGAAGTGATAGTAATGAAGATGTTAAGTGATATCCGTACAACAGTTTCTTACTAATGTATACGTGAAATTATGTCTATGAAACCAACTGATAGTGCTATAGACGCTGAATTATATCCAACCAACACATTGGTAGTAATCTAGATGTTAAATTATATCCGTACAACAAATTTATACTAATGTATACGTTAAATCATGCCAGCGAAACCATCCGATAGTGATAGAGAACATAACATATCATTTTTACAAAAACATACGTCAGAACAGCCTCTTTAAGTTATGGAGACGTGAATTTTTATCCTCATAACAAATTGATGTACTGACAGACTCAACAACACACTGATAGTAGATTTAATATAGGCGTTTACGTATACCCAATGATTTCTACATTGGAAGCAAATGTGTCGCTTAGTCTGTTAGAATGTTAAGTTCTTAGATCTATTCCTTTCCTCTCATCGCATGCATTCATAAAAAACACACTTTACTCATAAGCAATTTGAGATTATACAGTTCTCTTACGTTTGAAATTCAAATGATTGAGTTGTACGCAGCTCCCTTCTGTTTCCTTCACAAGAATACCTTTCTGTAGTCTAAAATGAGGTCCAATCACATTTACTATGCTCAACAAAGGATAAGAGACACATAGGGTTTTAATAAGTATGATGTATAAATGAGGACTATAACTCATTCCGAATGTATTTAATTCGTTTTTTATGTAGCCTCAATGGAGATTTGTCAAATCTTGTGTAACCTGATTATTCAAATACACATTAAAATGGTTCACAACGGGAAGATCCATTAAATGCGCTGCTTGTCTCCGTGATAATATTTACAGATATGCATCTTTTGTAACTATGAAATATCAACGATTCGATGAATAAATTATTACTGTTATTGAATTATTGTCTTATTTCTCAATGGTAAGCTTTAATGAGTGATATGCCAGAACCTTAATCATTAACTATTATA